ACAGGAAACTATGTTGCCTCTTTGATGTCTAGCTCAAAGTGATAGGGACAAGGAAACAACTGAGAGAGTTTCTCAAAGAAAGAGTTTCTTCAAGTAGCTTATCTGCCGCAGCTTTCATTAATCAGTGGTGACCTTAAAGGCTGGAGGAAGTTCTGGAGCAGTTTCAATGCTGCAGCACACTCTCAAAAAATTCTAGACATTCAAAAGTTGAAAATTCTAAACATCCAAAAATTGAACTCTGCTTAAACGAAAACGTCTTACAAGCAGTAGTAGACTGTGACAGAGCAACGGGAAATTATAGGGTTGGAAGAAAAATATTATTAAACAAAAAATGGGGAAAGATTTGGAGAGCCGCCTCTATTACGAGCTAAGTTCCATAAAACGAAATGACAGGGAGTAGAAGTCAACTGTTGAGATAATCGAAAAAAATGCTTGGACAGCTAGAAACAGTAGGTGAAAACCTAGAGCATACTAGCGTTGAAACCGCTATAAAAACTAAAGTGCCTGGATGAATATCGGATAAAATATGCCAACAAAAAGCGGGTAACGAAGTATGGCGGTTATAAAACTCATGCAATTCCTCAGAAGAATTAGTTAATAGAAAAGAACAAATGATAAGAAGCCAACCCTCCATTACTTCTAGAAAAAAACTTCTGTATTGGCAACGGCTACTCAACCAAACCGAGGATTACTTAACACACGAAAGGAAACTTCAACTTTAGCTGCAATCAACCAGTCTAAATCAAAGTTAATCACAATCTCGAAGAGAAATTTAACAGATAAAAGGAGAAGACAACATATATTTTTCAAGAAGGATCACCAGGACAGCGAATGTTACATTTACATCATCCTCAAACAACGAGTTGATCGTTTAAAGAAAATCCATGTTTGAACTACTGCAGAATGGGGCAGACCGAAGTCGACTGTAATAAAGTGGCATGTCGTTTCTGTTGTAAAAAAATAAAAAAACTCATTACAATGCCTCATCTACTACAATGTCAAGCAATAAGATTTTCCAGCTAAAGGAAAGAAGGCTACAACTGTCAGAAAAAATGTAAGCAAGTTTCCTTTCCAATATTCCGATTGAATAAGTTTACTTGATGTATTGATTATATTTGTATAATGTGTAGCGAGTGGTAATACCTAAATCTTTTTTTATCCCGCGGTCCAAAACACCATGTTTACAATAATGGACAAATCCCCACTGCACTTTGTAAACTTTCCTCATCATGTCACTGCCTAAACTGTCATGCTTACTTGATGGACGAAGTGCCCATTGTGACGGTCAAGTCAACAACACCCATCCATAAAACGATCTATTCGCACGTACTGCAACACGTCACAATACAAGTCCATGGAACCATCTACGTCAAAAGCTATTCAACACCAACACATACACCAAAATGCTACATATACAACGCCATACAAATTATGGAAGCAAAAGATTGGAATGCATGCCACTCTGGAATGGAATCATTAACAACCTATTCTCAGGTACAACAATCCCAGAACTTCAAGCACAACACACTAAACGTACCGGATCTCCACTAACACCTATCACAGTACCAATGCTAATACCACGCACTATCAATCCGCATGCTGACCAGTAACGTATGCTATCACAGTACAATATACGCAGTGTATGCAGCAACCCAAACTCATATCACATCTTTGTCCAGGACAGCTCAAAGGTGCTTGAAAGCAAACAAACCTGTAAAACTCAATCTACTCCTCACTCACACGATGGTTCTTGTAATTCGTAGAAATAGAACCCGCAACCGCTCAATATGAAGAGCTGTTCACATCTATTGCAAATTCAAATTCTAACATGAAGAACAACATATTGGCGGTTGCGGACTCTAAATGTGAACACGAACACCAACTTTACTCATCAACAGAAACAAATGAGGTTACAATATATGAATCAGTAAACAAATGTTGACAAATTTCAGAACCGATAAAAACAGGCATGCGCAAGCACATTTATCTTCTACAATTCTTCAGGGATCATTCAATAACACTGCTAATACTGATTTTTACAACTGCGCACTATTTCACATTACCCTATGCTTTTCCCAGTCATGGAGATAAAAAATTTCCAAGTTTTTGAAGTGCTAAATTGATATGCTATATAATGAACAAACAAAGACAAAGCTGATATAAGAA